GCATACATGGTGTGTAGTGGGACAGCTTTACTTGGCTTTTTACTATCAAGTCAGAATGACATTCATTACGAAATAAAGAGCAGATTGAATTCAGGATAGGAAACGATGGAGCGAAATGGATGCAGCTAGCTCAGGATAGAGTCCGATGGCCGGCTTTTGTGAACACGGTGATGAAACTTCGGGTTCCATAAAGAAGTGGGCTATTTTTTGCCAAGAAGAGTATACAGTTGACTTTTCAAAGCATATCCTGTACCATAGTGTGTGTGAGTGTAGACTGATTTTTATTGTATTATGACGAATGGCAGTTTATGCTGCCCCTCAGGAAGACCTTGAGTGAAGAGAGCAAAGAAAAAGCCTTGATGTCGGGCATAAAATGTTTCTTTGAACCTTTGAAATGCAAAAAGCCATGGTGATGGGCACTAAATTAAATGCAAGTGCTACAGAAGCCATGTGTTTCTTTTCAGCAGCTTGCTCGTGCAATAAAAAATACAATTGTTTCTATTTACACGGTAATATTGACTGTAGATTACTGTCATAATTATGTACTCTGTATTAAAAACAAGTATTGAATTTTTGCTATGACATGTTCAACATCCGTTTATATGGCCTATGAAGTATATATGGAATGTATATAAATTTAATTCCATACTATTCTGTTTTATTTGTACTGTAACGTTTCTCGATCAAGCAAATGAAAGACTTTGCACTGTGACTGGTTCATTATCTTTGACGGTGTGGCGCTGGTAACCATAGCAATACCAACACCATATTTTATCGTTTTTACCTGTGGTTGTAGTTGCGTCTTATTGCCTATCATAACCTAAAGCCAGAATAGATATTAAGTGCTTAAATTTTAGTGTTGTGCTGTGTCAGTTAAGTGTTCATGGGTTAGAGTTTTATGGGTGGAATTACTGCCCTTTTTATTAATTAAAGATACTCTTTATTTCGAAATGGTTTTAAATAACATGCCACTCCTTGTGTTACTACTTTTTACATGTGAGTTTATATACACGACAATGCTTTCATAAGAATGTGAATTGTTACTGACATGGTCTTTTTGTATGCGTTTCCTATAACTGCACAGAGTGATTAATATAATTGCCACCTAGTACGGTAGTTTTAAGAAGTGGGTAGTTGGCAATTTCTGTCATCGTATACCAGTAAATATGAGTTGCGAAGTAATACTAAATAATTCCAGAGTTTGTTGGGATAGACGTTGAAAATATTCTTAATTTAATTTTAAAAAGGCGCTGCCCAGTCATTACTGAGGCGAGATTAAGTTTCATGATCTTGTTTGCAGGCTTTACGTATTGAGAAAATGAGCGATAACAATAAAGACAACATAGAAATACAATCCCCAGATTTAAATTACAATGCCTACTGTGACTGAGGCACAGTAAAACACGGAGTTTGTCAGTGTTCAGTACTTGGCCGTCAGTTTTCCGTATATACAGTATAGTATTTTCTTTATTTACACAGATACATTTCCACTCTGCTATGCCCAACCCAAAATTAAACATAGCAACAGAATCATCAAAGAAATCCCAGACTACAAAAATTTTGGGGCCATATTTGACCTGAAACAAACATGGAGAAAACTTATTGACATAGTAACTGAAAAGACTTACTGAAGATTTGCAACGTCAAAATAAGTAGAGCAAGAATTTAGTGGGAATGCTCAAGATATGTGCAGCACAACATTCAGAATACACACAGAACCAGTTCTATATTATGGTACCAGCTTACCTGCACAGTTGTAGTTCTGAGTATAGACTCTCAAATGGCAGTTGTAATGGGGGAATAACTTATTTAGTATCTCACAACAGTAGATAATCCAAACAATATTTTTTGGCATTACTGTTTCTCTGGGCTTGATCTATTGTTCTGCATGTTAAAAATTAAGCCTTTCCATTTTTGGGGCTGGCTGTACTGTCATCTTCAGGTGAAACTATCTGTTCTGTTAGGTTCAATACAAGAGGCTGATGCAAATCCTTGGGCCAGTCAGCCTCAGATGTTTTAACAATGTACCATTTTATCACCATGTTTCTGAAACTTTGCTGTGGTGAAATCTTCCTTCTTTGCCTTCTGTTCAGTTTGCATATAGTCACTTCTCAGGACTACCTTGTCATTGAAAGTTATAAAAGAATACAAATAAAACATCCATGCTGTTGGTTGATGTGAGCTGAGCATGATTACCATGTTGGTTTGTATAAAGTTATATCCTCCTCTCATGTAGTGAACACATATTCTAAGATTCTACAAACAGTGCCAGGATTCAGATTCATTCTAAATAAGCCAGAGCTTAGGGTCTGACGTGAGGGGATTCAAGAAATGTATTTTCATCTTAATTATATTATTTTAAATACTATCGTTCGTTAAGACATTACACAACTTAGTACTAGTTGAAAGTGATGGGGGCCTGTGCAGCAACTATTAAGAACTGGAAAGAGAGGTTAAGAACAGGTATGAATGAGGGAGATGTTTCACATGTAGTGATAAACACATTACTGAATGCCATAAGAGAGAAAATGTGTGATGTAGGAAAATACAGGATGACTAGAGTATACATTGTGTTTAGTTTAAAACATTTCAATATGTAGTGAGGTGATAATAGATAAATTTGTGTCTAGACTACTAGCATATCTAACAGTAAAGTAAAGCCATCCCGTTACACACCATGTAGGTCGTTTGAGGGGAGTAGAGGTATAGCTCCTACTCTTTCTTGACCTTGGCATCGGATGGGGGTGAGTGGTCAGCATCATGCCCTGGCCACGCTTTACCCCTAGGAAAGGACCCCAATACCCATTGGAGAGAAGGCTGGGTGGGCCCCAGAGCTGGTCTGGACGCAGAGGCTAGAGGAAAAATCCTCTGCCCCCGTCAGGGATCAAACCCATAGTTAACAGTACCATAGTTTGTCGGCATATTGAATGATTTGCTTTAGATAATTGAGATCCTACTGTAGAATTTGTGGATCTCAAAATACAATATTTTTATTCCTGCTAGGATCAATAATGCTGGAATTTTCTGTGAAATTAATTTTATAAATAAGTACAATTATGAAATTCAGTGCAGTTTACATATACAGTTGACTCTTAATCTTTTTGTATGAATCTAGAAATGGATTCTGGAGATGGATGCTATATAGATGTGTTAATAATAGTATTTTATGTACCATATCCATATCATCATGTAAGGATCATGACAGTGACATTTGGGGGCTGAATATCTGTTTTGATATGCATTGGAGCATCTGTGCCCTATATGTTCAAGTATACTGAGTTGTTTTAATAACTGCTTATGTTATAAAATTACTAATTTGATCAATATGAAATAAGTAGTAGTTTTGTTTACCTTACTGTAGTTTAAACATTCTTCCCTTTTTTATTTCAGTTCACACAACAGCAGGGTGTACCATTCCATTTATAATACGGGGATCATGGTTTTCATGGGAGAATGGTCAGAATACATTGACTGTGATTAATGCTGAAACAATGACTCGTAAAGGATATTGCATTGCTGTTAAAGAAGATTACCATGTTAACTATACATTTGTTTTTCAAGACAATAAATGTTACCACTGTGTTAAGCTACTGGTCAGGACTGTAAATGTGTTGGAAAAACTTGAAAGTAAGTATAAAGCTTAAATGAGGTGAAAGTTGCCATCCCGTTTTATAAGTGCTTTCAATCTTTAGGCCATAGTAAGAATTTTTATTATAGTAGACAGTAGAATCTTGAGTCTACTTCTTTTAATAGTTCCAGCATTTGACAGTATTTTTAACTGACACCATGGAGCAATCTTTGAGAAGCTAATAATTACTCTGTCAAGAAATTCTCCACCTCTTATGGAACCCAAAGGTTTGCTACAATGTATGCAAAAGAACCTGCCACTGATTTCTGTCTTGAACCAGATGAATCCAGCCCATAGTGTCACACACTATTTTTAGGGTCTATTTTAATACCATCTTATCTACACATAAGTCTCCCAATTGCCGTTTTCCCTTCAAATAATGTGGATTGTGGTTTCCAGGGTTTTGACACCATGTAGTCTTGTAGATGATTACTGACATTTCATAGGAATGTACTACCTCCGTCTTCAGGGTAGGAGAGGTGATATATTCCTCTGAAGCATTGGTTATGAGCTGTAAAAGTACACGGTGCCACAACCCATAAGACTGCCTTCTACTATATGATACTGTACTGTATCTGCTAAGTCATAGGCATTCTTGAAATATATAAATAATTGATGTACTGTCTCCTTGTGCTTACTTTTTTCTCCAGCTTGGAATATCTGGTCTGTATGTCAGAATTAAGGCTGGTGACAAGAATTGGCAAGAGTGATATTCCTTGATAATTAATTCTTTGAAGCTAAGGCTCATCTACATAATATTTAAGAATTCAGTCCGGACCTCAAAGGAAACATACTTCTCCGTTACAAAGATTAATTACGTGACATAATATACATAAACACAAAATGCAGCATTACTAATTGTTAAAGTAGATGTTTCATACATTTACCACTTGGCTTTATAGGGTAATACACTTTTATTCTAGTTTTATAGATAGGTACAGTAACAGATTTGTGTCACTGCTCTGGAAATTTTTCCTTGTTCTGGAAAGAATAAATAAGTTTCTGGATCTCAGAACATGATGCTTTACATCTGGCTTGGACTACTTCTGTTGATCGTTGATCAGCACCTGGTGATTTAAAACTTTTAGGATTTTAGTAAAAATCTGAACCTTAAAAAACTAGCTCATGTACTAATTGTCTCATCATATCTGGTATGTCAAAAATCCTGTGTACATGTAGTAGCTGATTGTAATAGTTTTTTTGTCCTGTTTAAAATATTGTGGAATCTGCAAATATATTACTGTTTTGATCATTTACCATATTCTTGGTTGGTAGCCCTTTATAAATTGATTTATGCTTCTGTATAAATCTCTGATTTTTTTTATTCTTACTGTATCTTTTAACCCATTTAATTTTGTGCTTAAGATTTTTGCTTCTGAAACTTATAGTAGTTTTACTCTTGCATTGTTCATACTAGCTTATTCATTTGGGATAGATTCAGCAACCATTGACATTAATTTTTTTTTTTAATCTTTCCATTCTTGGTCAAACCATAGTTTATGCTCCTTTAATTCTATTTGGCTGAAGATTTGTTATTATTGATATTTTATGTAATACTAATGAAGCCCTATTCATGTCCACATTACAATCCAAGCTTTCCAAAGCAACAATTCTATTCAAGATTTTAATATGATCCTACTGTTCTTAAACTTTTACACAATATAACTTCTTGAGATTGAATCTTTCTATATAGAATATTTGCATTGTTTGTTTACATCTCTCACTAACTTTTGTAACCACTCGTCAGTACTACAGTCAGAACTTCTAAAAGATCGTACACCAGTTATGCTTGAATGAGAAGTCAAGGTATATTTGTTATTTCGTAACTGCTGTGATATGGGAATGTTGTGCTTTTTGTAGGATTTTTGGTGTGGAAATATCTACAGGTAAATTTAAATATTTAACCAACTCCATGGAGCCAAGTCCTTCGTGAGAAGCAGTTACTCACCCACTCAAGAAATTACCAACATTTTGTGGAACCTGAAGGTTCATTACCATGTTCACAAGAACCTGTCACTGTGCCTGTAATACATTTGACAAGTATCTAGTATGAATTATTGTGTGGGATGTAATTTTTTGTTTGTCCTGACAAATTTTGTAGTAGTACAGTAGATAGATTGACATTTTTTTCCATTGGCTTACTATTCATGAACATCATGCCTCTGAAATATATATATTAAGTAAACAATGCTAAAGTTTTGTTGTTTTTCCTGCAGCTGGCTGTGTGAATTTGGCTCGTGATCAGGAACCAACAGTTGAGAGAGTATGCAGGGACTTAACTCCTGATCAACATATTGTAACGTTGTTTTCGGAGAATTATGTCCCAGTCAACTGTCGGTCTAGTTTAGAAGGCGTTTGGCAGTTTGCTTATCAGGTGTGTTTGAAATTATATAATTAATTTCCTGTTCGTCCAGAAGACTTGAATTGTCTCATAGAAATTATACAATGCTAAATGCTTGTTAATATTATAATTTTGAAAATTTTGTATGAATACCTGTATATCTGGATAATGTCTGTGATTCATGCATTTAATTAAAGCTTTTAAGAGGGATTTAGGCATCTTAATCATCAGATTTATTTATAAGAGCCTAAACCTGTACCATGCTCAGGGATGAAAGGACAGGGGAAGATCTAGAAGCAGGTGGAAAGACCAAGAACATTTTGAGCTTTAAAGGAACAGGTCTTGAGACCTAACCATTGATGAAATTTATGATGATGATGATGATGAGGTAAGAATGGTTTAGTTCAGGGTGGTCCAACCTTTTTTCCTTACTTGGGCCAGAATAATTTTCCTGTTGGACCCAAGGGCCAAGAAACCCCTACTGTCACTACTTTTACATTGTCATTATCTTTAATAATACTTATTCAGAAATGACAAATTACCATTTCATAGGCTGAAATATAAATTTTATTTAAGTGTGCACAAACTACTACAGAGTTTTATATTAGTTTAAATTTGCTCCTGCAACAGTTTGTATCTCTCACAGTTTTTAATTGGAAAACTTACACAAATTATTTGAACTCCTCTAATTTAACAGCTTGTATCTAATAATTTAACAATTTGTACCAGTAGAATGTGCATCTTATGCTTTTAAAGTCAGTGGCTTTAGTGACAGCATTGAGCAGAATGTTCTTTTACCAGTGATGGAATATCAACTTCGAAATAAATTGGTTTGTACTAACTAGTAACAAATTAACCAATACTTTTGCGGGCCGGATTACAGGTGGTCGCGGGCTGGATTCGGCCCACGGGCTGCCAGTTGTACCACACTGGTTTAGATAAAGTGCCTTACCCCCACCCTCCCACACATACCATCTTAAAGTGTAACTGCTCATGAGTCAGGGTCAAACACCGTCCTTGAGTCTCATTACATTGTAGTTTCTGGAAAGTACATTAGAAATTAATGAAGTGCTGTGTTAATATCCTGCTCAAGATGTGTGCTTTTCTCTGAATAGCCATCTTTTGTATTTTCATGCTGAAGTATTTACCTCAACTGTCATCAAAATACATCTGAAATGATAGTGGTAAGCTTCCATTTGCACCAGTAATTATCTGTATAACCTTCACCTTTAGATCTTGTATGAGTTGTATTTTTCAGTAGATATTTTGTATTTAAGTTTTTTATGCTACTTTCGATGCCATCATTATTTAAAAACTAATTTTTATGAAATTTTGATGGAAATAAATTTTTGCCATCCAAAATCTTTGTTTATAAAATTGTTTTCAAAATGGGATGCTTGTTTTTTTATCATAAATAGTATTATTCCTATTTCAGAGTAATGGAATCTGCTTGTTTGATGTTCTCCATCAATATAAATTACATTCGAGTACTGATTAAGGACTGCCAAGTGAAGTGTATCGTAATGCCAAGTGCATCCAACATTTTAAAACACTTTTGTGTATAATGATTTTGATAAATTTTATGAAATATCATTTTAATCGAAGTACTAACAAGTCGTCTCTCATTATCATCATCTTTATTATTTCTTTGTTACTGTATGTCATGAACTGTGTATGTTGTAGAATCGTTTCCGGTTTACTGGAGAGTGCAATAATCCAGACGCGCAGATCCGATCATGCCAGACTGCAGGAACACAGTTTCTTATAACAAATCAAAAATTCAATATTACATACAAGAAATGCCCAGGCATGACTGGAACATTTGATGGAGGTAAGTGTGATAGGTTTTAATTTATAATAAGTAAAATTTTAGGTTTTCACAGCGGTGAGTCTGAAGATTGCTGTCTTCTGAGTTGTTGCACTGTGTAGTCATCAGGCCCTGCGTTTACAATTTGTAGAGGTTACCTCTGTGGGAGGCAGTGGCTCTGGTACACCAGCAAACCTGTTGATGAAGTTGATCTACAATAGGCTTTGAGTAAGACAGACTTTATCTGGCAAAGACGAAGTGTCTGGAAATGCCAGAAGGAAGTTTGAAAAGTCCAGGGTTGCACCAGGTGCTTATCGAAACCAGAGTATGTGGCACTACCCTGTTCCAGGGAAGTGCTTACCAGGATGCCTGTAAGGCTCGGGTCCTAGGGCAGACGCTGATTAAGGAGGTCAGTCCTCTCCAAGGATCCAGTGACTGTGACACTAGGGGCCTCCATTGAGGCCTTGATTATGGTTACCAACAAAAGAGCTTGGACAGCTTCCATTTGAAAGTTGGTTTATCTCAGCAGAAACCCAGCAGTTCTGGAATACCACCTTGGGGAGCTGACAGTTTCAGCCAACCCAAGGTATTCTGTGAAGACATGTTCCATAGGCAGACCTCATCTGGCAAGGACCAGCCATCTGGAAGTACCATGATGAAACTTAAAACCAGGAAGAGCGAAAGTAGTACCAGGGAGATTTCCGTCTTCTGGGTTGTTGCGCAGGGACTTATGGCACATGGGGTATGTGGCACTACCTGAATCTAGGGAGGTCCTCACCAAGATGCTTAAAAGGCGCTGGTCTTAGGGCAGTACCCTGGTTACAGAAGTTTACATTTCCTCAGAGATACAGGGACTCTGTGAGACCAGCAATAAAAGACCTCTTCAACACATGGCTTCCATTGAAATCCTGCTGTATAGGATACTGTGTTGTTCATGGACGTTATGGGGCTCCTAGTGAATTAAGTGAACAGGGATGCACAAAAGATAAAGAAATGGTCATGATGCAGGGGTTGGTTAGGTGCTCACCTCATTTACAATCATATCTGGGTAGTTCCTTATGGCATGACATCGATACTATTTTTCATCCAAAGCTGTCGAGTGGTTGTTGAGTTGAATCATATGGACTGATACATGACCAGCCTCCATGTGTGTTTATTTCATACACATCATGCAGAGAACACATAAAATTAAACATGCCATTGTTGAGACATATTATGATTTTGTTTGACGTCAGTGTCCCTATGTGTTGATAGCTGTTTTTCTTTCATTTACAGTGGTGGAATATAGCTGTCTTGGTGATTGGTTTGTGGATAAAAATCACTTTTTTGCCGTTGCTAATACGAAGGAATCCCGGAAAGATGAAAAGTATCGGTGTTTCCTGAAGAATCGAGATGATGACTTGTATATTGGAGTGTCCATAACAGCAGAGTGCAACACTCTGAAAACGGTAGAGAAAAGTCCAGAACGGCTGCGAATTACCCCAGGTATGTGAAATACAGGCAACTCTCGGTTTGTGAACGAGTTCCATTCCAAGACGTTCGTTACACGTTTTTGTTCGTTATGTGTATCTTGCATTCCCAAGCTTTAACAATACGTATCTTATACGTTAGCAGCCATTTTAAAGCATTAAAACCTTGTACTAATTATCATATAATTTTCTGATAATTATTGTAAAAAATACATATTTGAAAAGTTTATTTATTCAATTCTTACACTTTTGTTCACTATATGTTTGGCATTTCGTTTTATAAGGAACTCTATCTATTGGCGACTTGCAGAAATTTTGAATGAATTGTGGCGTTCATTATAACGAATGTTCGTAAATCATATACAAAACTGTAATGATACTGCTTATTGCTTTTGTTCCATTATGAAGTTAGAATGTTACACGAATTACTGAACACAGGAAACAACCAAGTTTTCTTCTTATCTTTATTTTGTACCACTTATATGTAATGATAGGATTGTGCTTCAGAATTGTAAGTGCTCTGGAAAGTTGGAAGATGCCGTGCAAGTTGTCAGTAAGTCATTTAAAAGAATGTCTACAAGATATTCCTATCAGTTGGTACTGCTGTGAAAAAAGCAGTTGAATCTGTATGAATGTGTGTGTAGCTTTTTAAAATAAATTGTGTAGTTTAGTCACATCTGGGAGTTTTATGGAGCAGATGGAAGTATTTGTCTATGCCAGTGCTATTCAGTTTGGTACACAAGTGAAATGCTTTCTGGTGATGATAGCAGATGAACTCTCATAGCACATTTGAAATTTGGTGTCATGACGGCTTATAAAGATGCACAAAAATCCAGGGGTCAGCAGACTTCATCTCAGTTCATGGAGTGCTTGATTGTTACACTACAGTAACTTTAGTTTATATTTAAGATATAAGGCATATAATTTTCTAGTCACTGCCTGCAGTTTCTCACTTATGCTATGTGAAGAAGTTTGTTTAGTCCTGCAAGTCTTGTATTTTTTTTCCATCGTCTATGGTCAAGCTTGACCGTCGTGACCCCTTTATGGAGTTTTCTTGTGAAATTGCCACGGTGGTTTCGCCTTACCTTCCATGGCCAGTCTTTACCCACCAGACTAGAAGAGGAGACGCGGACAAACATCCATGCCTTGAGTGGGACTCGAACCCACTGTCGCAGCAGCCAGCACCTCTTGTATGCAACTTGCATTTACTTTGAAGATGACTGTCTTCTGGTATGTTGTGCTTTGCGGTCTGCTAGAAGTTTACTGACATTTCAGAACATTTCAGAGGTGCTGGCTGCCTCCATCATTAGGGCTTTGTGTCTCATTACCGTGTTAATGGAGAGGATACCATATTCCCCCCATTGTTAGGCATAAGGTAGAAGCAGAAGGGTGCTTCTGGCCTAAAAGTGGAGGTGATGTGTTCCCCTGAAATGTTAGTAACCATCTACAAGACTAAATGGTATCAGAAATAAGAAGATCACAATCCACAACATAAGATACAAACAGAAATGTTGCATGCAAAATAAGTAATTTCTTTTCTTTTAAAAGCTTATTTGAAAGAGAGGTATTTACAGAAAAGTAGATGTGAAAAGTTTTTATAATCCATCTTTAATACTTAATATGTGTAATTGATTATATAATAAACTTGTTTTATTTCATTTTAGTCAAATCGGAGGTTGTTGAACCTGGTTGTCGCCTCCCACAGAATTTCAGTGGTGATTGGATCAATACTGCAAACATTGATGCTGATATTTTCATAAATGAGACACACATCATTGAAACTTGGTACCCGGATGAAGGTCGGTACAGGAGGACCATTTATGTGTGTCGGCAACAAAGGGACACTCGGTATATGATGGCAAGGCTTACAGTAGATGGCTGGTAAGAATATTACCTAAATTACTAAAATTGCTACAAACAGATAAGAGTAAAGAAGATGTATGTCTAAGCAGCACATAATTCTAACCTCAGGAATAATTTATTCTGGCACTGGTATTTTTGTGGTTTCTCCATTCCCTTCATTAGACTAGAGATCTGCCATGAGCCAGATTTTTAGAATTTTACCCAGCCTGGCCTGAGAATTTGTCTTGAGCCCTAAGCTTATTCTCAAATACGTTTTCCATACATTAAATTGGCAGTTGGGTTTGCTGGGTTTTTGGACTTTGTCCATCGTCCAAGGTTAGAATGTATACGTTTTGGAAACCAGATCTGTTTTTGTCTTCAGGTGTATGGGGCAGGGGCAATGAGAGTTAATTAATGGATCTACTTGTTGACTCCCACCTAGGAGTTCAATTCTAGAGCCACAGATGGTGCTAGCAGTGGATGGAGGTTGTTCAGCAGAGAGGGGTTTGAATTTCATTTCCATTGGAGGATTGGGTTTTGAGATTTGGTTTGATGTATTTTATCTCCTCCCGCGCTTTGGTTTTTGTCTTGACTTTCACATGTTTTCTATAATTTTTTATTGAATGTCTTTCTGTTGTCTCTCATTGACAAAACCTGACCTCAGGTGTTTACACTTTTTTTGTGTCAAAGTGTCTTTTTCCTGTGTTAGGCACAAACAGTAGGTCTACTGACACGCTGTTCATTTAATACAGTTTTAGATGTATTCATGTAGTGAGAAAAAGTTAAATTTAAAATGGTAAAATTGGATTACATAAATATCCCATTTGGGATATAAGCTTTTGAAGATGGCTGTCTTCTGGGTTGTTGCCAGGAGACAGCCATCTTCAGACTCACCGCCATGAAAACCTCAAATCCTATGTAGGATATAAGCCTACTTATGTTTCTAACATGAGTCATTCGTTTCAGTTAAAACAAATTAATGTTTGCTGTAACAAGAAGTTTTAAAGTGTCCTGTGCCATAAAAATAAGAATTGATTTTTCTCTTTCATTCAGTCAGAAGGACTACGTGTGTTTTGACTTTGTACCCCAGCACCATAACGTTATCCGTTACCGACGTGGCATTGCTGTCATCAAAGATGATTTCCACACTGTTTGTTCATGGGTACAGTTTAAGAACAAGGAATCATGGAAGTTTGACTTATTTTTAGGTAAGAATTTATGTCGATTTGTTACGTAGCCGATATGGAGTCAGTTTATTACCTAACCATAACAGAACCAATCATCCATTTTAAGAAAACTTAAGTAATTAGTAAGTCCTTTTAATACAGTCGTGCCTTGAAGGCAGTTTGTACTTCTGTGGCTTGCATATTAGCCTTTAATAAATTTGTCTGATATTAAAAGTTTTAATTTAAAGCACAGGATATTATTGCAGTACTGGATAGACGTGGAACTGAATACATTGCTTCTTATAAAAGGTTCATAGGGTATAAATGTTTTAGGAGCCACATTTCTATATAGGCAAAGTGTATGATGTGTGATGTGTATGTGTTGATGACATTTACAATGTGTTGGGATGTGAACTGTATTGATCATTTATAAGAAATTGTTGAAGTTCTATACTTGATGTGTGACTAGCTTTTGTATGAAGTGATGATTTATCATGTCGGTGCTGGTCTACTAGGTTGAATGTCATGTGGTCTTGTATGTGGATACCAACATTTTGGAGTAACATGCTGTCTCATTCTTCAGCCCTGAACCGAGAGAGATTATGTTTTGTTTTTTCCCTGAAACGTTTGTATCTGCCTACAAGTCCACAGCGTTATAACCCTGAAAATCAACACTGATATCTTCATTGCTATGTAAACCTCAAATGTCATATGATAAATTATTCTGTTTGTGGATCTTGGGAATGAGGTTATGTTAATCAGCAGTTGCCAGCTGCCATTTTAAAAGAGGATTTCTTTACAGATACCAGTTTTCTTCAATTTTACTTTTATATGGAATTTGAGATCTGATATAAAAATATCTTGTGTTTTCAGTCCAGCAGTGTGTACATAAATGTATGTAGATGAATAGTACTAATTATGTGATATATAACGTTTTCACATCACATCATAAGGTCAGCACATTTCAAAAGGTTATTGTCGCTTCTTCTCTTGCTTAGACAGATGTTTGGACACTGCAAGTGAAGTGGACAGACATTTGTAGTTAGGAACAGTTAGCTGTAATACATGAATGTAATGCCTTTCTCTATATTTACATCTGCTGAATTGCAAGTTGTTCTATGCATTATGCATGTAGGAATTCATTTATAAGGACTATTTGTGTGTTTTACAGCAAAAAATCCAGTGCCTGTGCAGTGTCCAATAGCAGGGAAGTACAATTTTACTCAGCGTGGTGATGTGCCTTTTGAAACTCGTATTTTGGGTGGTGTTACGCTTTCTCCTCGTCCCAACACGTACTGTAAGCAGAACATATCTGACTTCTCAGTATGTGATACAGAACAAAAGGAAATTTCTATTGATGAAACATATTGTCTCAGTGTTGATCACTTAGGCAGACCTGTCGACATTTACAGTAAGTACTGTGATAGTATTACTTTTGAAATATGTATTGTGTATGCTAATAATGCTAAGCTTCTGTATTATAAATAA